GCACGCACGCACGCACGCACGCACGCACAACATACATACGTACATACATACTGCTCTCTGAACGATCTGAACATTTTTGTCAGATAGTCAAGAACGCTCAGCAGTGCAATCTTAGCCGCGCAATTATACGATCATTAAAAGCGCGTAGTGCAATCATACGATTGCGTCGAGCTGCAAATTCGGCGGAACATATATATTATATATATGGCCATAAAGTGAAGCAGTGGTGCGGTACAGCAAACGTGTAAGCACACTATTGGGAACAGCAGACATGAAAGCACACAGCGATACCCAGTTGTTATTTGAAGTAACTTTTTAGTTCAACAATAGTGATTGTGCTGATAAAGCTGAAAATTATAGTTTAACAATAACAATAATAGTAAAATTTTACATAACATTATCCTTATTATTATTATTATTAGTAGTAGTAGTAGTAGTATTGCAATTTACTTTTACGTTTTTTTCTGTCCTCTTATACTACGAGGAGTCGAGGGGAGACGTAAATGTCGGACATGGGCCAGGTGTACTGCTGTTTGGATCGTCATGCTGTTCCTTTGGAGGGTTTTTTTCACGCCGTCGATCCATCTTTTTTTGTTGTTGGCCTTCCTTTTGCCTTCAAGCCATTGAATCACATGTTTTAGGCCCCATTCTCATTAAGTGTCCAAACCATCATACTTGTTGTCTTTCGATGTATTTTAAATCTCGGTTCGACGAATACTCATTGTCCTGATGTCTTCGTTTCTTGTCTGTCTCTTCTTGAGGTGTTTTAATGTTTTTGTAAGACATTTCATCTCGATTGCTGTTATTCTATTTTGTTTTGCTTTTTTGAGGGTTCAGTTTGACACAGAAAGTTATTATATATAGATTGATCTGATAAGTTGGTCATTTGTCTCCACTGGAGTGTTTTGATGGGAGAGGGTGGGTTTTAGCTAGTGTAGCTGCATAATTTACCTTTTGTACTCATGTTTCTGTTTCTCAGTCCATTTTCCTGTCTGATGAGAACACGTTTCCAAGGTATTTGAATTTCTGTACTTGTTTTAGTTGTGTGTCCAACATGGCTAAGTAGTGATATTCCTCTGTATATGTGCCACACTCCTTACTTTTGCCCTTCTTTTTCCAAATAGGTACTACGATACGGGGTTGTCACTCCTCTGGGTATTGTGTTTGTTCCAATGCTGCTTTGAGGTTTCGTTTGAGCCATAGCGTGCTGAGGCCCCCGCATGACTTTGTGTCATTGACGATGTCGTATGGTCAAGGAGATTTGTTGTTTTGTGGCCTCTTTTTCAGTGCTTCCTCCATCTCGCTGACGAGAATAGGTGGCTCATTATTTTACACCTTTCCAGGTCTCAGTGTATCATTTTCTTTTTCTCCAATAGGGTTTAGCAGTTCTTGGAAGTGCTCGGCAATCTCTTCTTGATTTTGGCTTTATCTGTAGGGCCTATATTATAACGTTTCCACTTTTGTCATTTATTGTGCGATTTGGGTTATATTATGACTCATCCCTTACTCTCGTGGACCGCACACTTTGGAAGAACCCCCGTCCGTTGTTCTTATTCAGGTTAGTTAGTAGTACTCCATAGTTCTCCCAAGAGCTTTCCTATGCTGATTTGATGACCCTCTTTGTCTTTCTTCATGCCTTTCTGAATTCAATCTTATAGTTTTCCTCCATTTTGGTAGAGTTTTTTCTTCAGCTTTGTGGCATTTTGGTTTCATTCCACCAAATTGTTTCTTTACGTTTGCTTTTTTTATCTCCCTTTTTTGTGCTGCACTTCTTTCTTAGATTTTATTTTATGGTCGTTGTTGTTTTGTTTGGGTTTTTTTTTGTGTTTTGTTTTTGTTTGTTGTTGGGTTTTTTTGCTATTCTTCTTCGAAGTCATAAAAACTCATACAAAGAAAAAATTCTTCTTCGAATCATCTGGCCTCTGATGGTAGCTTTTCGTATTCTTCTCTCATTGTTTCCTTTATTTCTGTCTGAATGACAGGGTCAGCCAAGTTCTTCATTTTGATAGCCTTTCGCTTTTTCGTATGTGCTCTTCTGTGTGTCTTCTTTCTCGCTAGGCTGAGGATGATTGGTCTGTGATCGGTGTCAATTACATGGTTTGGTACTGCCCTGGAGTCCGTGATAGTACTTTTGTTTGCTAATATGAAGTCTATTTGTTGGGAAGTTTCCAGATCAATCCATTTGTGCCAAGTTTTTGTACGGTTTTTTTCAACTACGGAAATCGTAATGCTGAGATTGCGGGTTCGAGGGTTCGAGCCTCGACTCAGTCCGACGTTGTGTCATTGGCAAGACACTTTCCATCAATTTCCCATTTGGGTCTGACCTTTCGGAGTTGAACGTTAAACTCGGAAGTCCTGCCTCTTAAATGACCTAATAATGTTGATAGGGTGCTAAACCTTCTACCATTTCACCTTGTTAGCTTTTCCGATGTTTAAAGTAAGTGTTTGTTACTATGAACTCCAATTCGGCGCAAAGACAGAGCAGCTTTTCACTGTTGCT